AAACTCCCCCTCCTCCCCCCAGCCCCCAGCATCACAACCCAGGTGCTGAGAGCATCTCCCTGACCTCGGGCAGATCATCAAGGACCGGCTGCTCCCACACCGTTCCCGCTCCCGCTTCCTCTGGAACACACTGCCCGGGGGGCTCCTGGCCCTGCCCGACTTCTCCACCCACCTCGGGGACTTTCCCTTCTACTACCTACAGCACGGTAGGACCCCTCCTGCCCTGGCTGAGCACGGTAAACTCAATGCATGCCACGACACCTCTTCTCTGCCCTTCTTTTTTCAGGCTCCAGCCCCTCGGAGAAGTTCACAGCTTTCATCCGGGCCACCTCGTCGGCTGGTTCCCTCTCCCAGTCCATCCTCAGGCTCATCCAGGCTGTCTCTGGATCCCAGTACTGCGCCCAGGTTGGGGGAGCTGAGCCCTGCACCACTCGGTGCAGCTACCAGGGGTGCAGTGGGAGGGATGGGGCAGGGCCCCGTGGGCTGGGAAGGGCGAGAATGGGGTTGGGGTGGCTGGTGGGGTCACCCTTGGGTGGGCAGAGCTGTCTCCCCAGCCTGCTGGGGTGGAGGTGGGACCACCCGTGGCTTTATTGTGGTCCAAACCGCCGTGAGATAGTTTTGGGGTGAGTTGAGTTAAAGCAGATCCTGTTACGGGGTTGGGGGGGATCAGCCTGGGGGTCAGCCTGGCCAAACCCCCCCCAGACACGCTGGTCCTCCCCCCCTGCAGATCCTGGTGCTGTGGAGCTGCGAGAAGCCACCACCACCCAGCAGGACATGGCCCCAGACCACCGTGCCTCTGACCATCGTCCAGGGCAGGGGGAAGGTGAGGGGAGCTGGGACGTGGGCACGGAGCTGGGACGTGGGCACGGAGCTGGGACGTGGGCATGGAGCTGAGACGTGGGCATGGAGCTGGGACGTGGGCATGGAGCTGAGACCTGGGCATGGAGCTGGGACCTGGGCATGGAGCTGGGACGTGGGCAGGGAGCTGAGACCTGGGCATGGAGCTGAGACCTGGGCATGGAGCTGGGACCTGGGCAGGGAGCTGGGACGTGGGCAGGGAGCTGAGACCTGGGCCGGGAGCTGAGACCTGGGCCGGGAGCTGAGACCTGGGCCGGGAGCTGGGACGTGGGCATGGAGCTGGGACCTGGGCAGGGAGCTGGGACCTGGGCATGGAGCTGGAACATCCACCCCGTGGCACATCCCAACCTGATTTTCCCCCCCCTCCCGTAGCTCAGTGACCGCTTCTTCCCCTACGCGGCCATCCAGACGGACGCCGTGCTGAGCCTGGACGAGCACACCAGCCTCTCCACCAGCGAGGTGAGGCCATGGGTGCCACCCTCCCCAGCCCCGTGGAGCTGGGACAAGCCCACGCTGAGCCAGGAAGGATGCTCAGTGGTCACCAAGGGGCTGGGCAGGGAGCGGTGCCCACCGTCCCCATGTCACCCACATCCAGGGGTGATGGTGAGCCCCCTCCTGCGGGTCCCTGCAGCCGGGTGATGATGTCCTCCATCCCCTGCCAGGTGGACTTTGCCTTCGTGGTGTGGCGCAGCTTCCCCGAGCGCATCGTGGGCTTCCCCTCCAGGAGCCATTTCTGGGACCCCGAGCAGAGGCGCTGGGGCTACACCTCCAAGTGGACCAACGAGCTCTCCATCGTCCTCACCGCCGCCGCCTTCTACCACAGGTACCCGGCCGGGGAGAAGCTGGTGGGGCAGGGGGCTCGACCACATCCTGCCCTTCCTCTGGCTCCTTCCCCAGGTATTACCACAGCCTCTTCACGGAGTACCTGCCGGTGGGGCTGCGGGAGCTGGTGGATGGCTTGGCCGCCTGCGAGGACATCCTCATGAACGTCCTCGTGGCCGCTGTCACCAAGCTGCCACCCATCAAGGTCACCCAGCGCAAGCAGCACAAGGAGAACCTGCCCCAGCAGGTAGGGTGCAAGGATGGGGATGTTGGGACCCCCCCGATTGGGGAGCTGAGCCCCTCACCCTTGCACCCCCCTCCTGTCAAGGTGAAGGGGACAGCGGGGGCGGCCGGTGGCCGGCGTTTCTCCCAGCAGCAGGACTGTCTCAACCAGCTGGTGGACTGGTTTGGCTACATGCCCCTCGTGTCCTCCCAGCTGCGCCTCGACCCCGTCCTCTTCAAGGACCAGGTCTCCGTCCTGCGCAAGAAATACCCGCGTTTGGAGAAACCCTGAGGGCTGTCGGGGAGCGGGGTCGGGGCCGGCTCCAGGTGCCCCGTTCCCTGGTCAGGGAGCCCTCCCGGAGCAGGCGGTCGCTGCTGACGGGGTTTTACTCCTTATTGGGGTTTTACTCGTTATTGGGTTTTACCAGTGCAATAAAGGTGGGGGGAGAGGCAGAGTCTGGCTGGTGGCTGTAGGATGCGGGGAACGGGCTGTGCCCAACGGGAGGCACCGGGGGTTTGGTGCTCTGGTGCTTCTGCCATCGGTGGCCACCCAGGCACCCTTGGGAATAACCCATCCGGCCCCACACCGAGCCCCCCCAGCCCCGTGGGGAAGGCAAATCCTTTGGCTTCCCAAGGGCAAACAGAGGAGTGATAAGAAGCGAGAGCAGGGCGAGCTTGTCCTCCCTGCCCCCAGCTGGGATGGGTTCTCCCCCTCCTCTCCGTGCCACCCTTGGGCACCCCAGCACCTCCTTGCCTCCCAGCGCTTCTCGAAGAAGGGAAACTGGTCGTTTCAGCTGCTTTCCCCCCCCCCATCTGAATAGAAATAGTGGCAAACAAGGCAGTCGCTGGCCTCCAGCAGCCCATGGCCATGGGTCTGTCCTTGCTGCCTTCACTCCCAGCAGATACCCAAGATAAAGCCCTGGTGCCTCCAGACCCAACATCCCCCCCTCACGCCACCAGCCCTTTGCTTGGCTTTATTTTCCACGTAAGAAAAGTACCCCCCCACCACCACCCCCACCCCCGGGATGGATGCGTGGGGGGCTGCCGGAGGGGTGAGGGGGAGGGATGCTCAGTCGCGGGGGGGCTGGCACTCCCGGCAGTCCCGCATCTCCTCGGAGTAGCTCTCCACCTGGATGGTGGTGGTGTGGAAGCGGAAGGTGCCCTGCAGCCGGGAGCTGGCCTCCTCCAGCACCTCCTGCGCGCTGGCACCCGCGTCTGCAAGGGAAAGGGGGGTGGTGTCGGGGTGTGGGTGAACCCCAGATCTCACACACACATTGAATTTCACTGAATTTTTAGAGTTGGAAGGGACCATAGAGATCATCTAGTCCAACTCCCCTGCTGAAGCAGGATTGCCTAGAGCTTGTCAGAGCATGTTACTCAGGAGCATCCAGGTGGGGCTTGAAAATCTCCAAAGAAGGGGACTCCACGCCCTCCCTGGGCAGCCTCTTCCAGGGCTCTGTCCCCCTCACTGTGAAGAAGTTTTTCCTCATATTTGAGTGGAACCTCTTCTGTTCCAACTTGTGCCCGTTGCCCCTCGTCCTCTCACTGGGAACCACCAAAAAGAGTCCAGCTCCATCCTCCCTCAACCCACCCTTTAGATCCTTGTCAGCATTAATAAGGTCTCCCCTCAGCCTTCTCTTCTCCAGGCTCAAGAGCCCCAGCTCTCTCAGCCTTTCCCCATCAGGGAGATGCTCCAATCCCTCCATCACCTTTGTTGCCCTTCGCTGGACTCTCTCCAGCAGTTCCCTGTCCCTCTTGAACTGGGGAGCCCAGAACTGGACGCAGGATTCCAGTTGTGGCCTCCCCAGTGCAGAGCAGAGGGGGAGAATGACTTCCCTTGACCTGCTGGCCCCACTCTTCCCTCCACAGCCCAGGTTTCCATTGCCCTTCCTGGCCACAAGAGCACACTGCTTGCTCATTGTCACCTTGCTGTCCACCAGGACCCCTAGATCTTTCTCTCCAGAAGTTGTCTCCAGCAGGTCCACCCCTAACCACACACCCCCTCCCACCTTTGCCTGTCCCTTTCCTGGACTGTGACACTCACTGATGGCGATGTGCACCGAGAGCAGCGGCTGCGCCGCCGTCAGCGCCCAGATGTGGAGGCTGTGCACGGCCTCCACCCCCCGCACCGCCAGCAGCGTCTCCCGCACGGCGTTGAAGTCCATCCCTTTGGGGGTGCCTGGGGAAGGAAGAGCCACGGGTGCTGGAGGGACGGGGACCTCGGCACCCACGGGTGGCCCCGTAACATCCCCGTTGGGCCCCTACCCTCCATGAGGACGAGGAGGACGTCGCGGAGGATGGTCAGCGTCGTCCCCAGCACCAGCACGGAGAAGAGGAAGGTGCAGATGGGATCCACGTATTTGTACTCGGGCTGGAGGGGGTGGGAGAGGGTGAGGTCCCTTCGGTGCTGTCACCCCACCCCAGATCATAGAATCATGGAATCATATGGGGTTGGAAGGGACCTCTGGAGATCATCCAGTCCAACCCCCTGCCAGAGCAGGTCCACCCAGAGCAGGTCGCACAGTAAGGTATCCAGGTGGGTTTGAATGTCTCCAGAGAAGGAGACTCCACCACCTCCCTGGGCAGCCTCTTCCAGGCCTCTGCCACCCTCACAGCAAAGAAGTTCCTCCTCATGTTCAGGTGGAACTTCTTATACTCAAATTTGTGCCCATTTCCTCTTGTCCTGTCCCTGGGCACCACTGAAAAAAGACCAGCCTCATCTTCCTGACACCCACCTTTTAAGTATTTATAGACATTAATCAGTTTCCCCCTAAGTCTTCTCAAGACTAAAAAGACCCACATCCCTCAGCCTCTCCCAGGCCCCTCATGATCCCCACTGGCACCAGCAGAGAGGGGTCACAATCCCCTCTGTCTTGCCCCTGTGCCTGGCCAGGGATGGCTGAAGCCGCTGTCCCCGTGTCCCCAGCATCTCCTTTGCCCCCGTGACCACCCAGACCTTAAAGAAGATGATGTAGGATGCGATGAGGACACCAATGCTCTGCAGCAGGTCCCCCACGACGTGGACGAAGGCGGCGCGGACGCTGGCGTTGGGTTGGTCACCAGCTGCCCCATGGCTGTGCCCGTGCCCCGTCTGGTGCAGGGCCACCCCCATCCTGCGGGCAGGGCAGCGGTGACATCTCTAGGGCCACCAGGCACGGGGTGGGGGGACATCCTGGGGGGGCTGAGGGCTGGCCGTACGTACACGATGTTGACGGCCACGGCGCAGGCGGAGGTGATGAGCATGACACCACCCTCGATGTCGTAGTCGGCCGAGATCAGGCGTTGGGCCGCCAGGTAGACCAGGACGCCCGTCACCACCCAGATGGAGAGTACGGAGAGCAGGGCCCCCAGGATCTCTGTGGAGAACCACCCCCCCAGCCCCACATTGCCATTCCATCACCTCACCAAGCCTGAGCACCCCCCTAACAGCACCGCAACCCAAGGTGGGCACCCAGCACCCATCCCCGTGGTCGCTTGGTGCCTTTGCCCTGCCTGTGTGTGTGATGCCAGGGCTTTGCCGTGGCTCCCCGTGCCCCCCAGGGCTCCCCAAGGCATCCGGTCCCCATGACGAGGGGGACATTGGGATGCTCTGACTCCTGCCTGGGGACCCAAGATGGCAACCCCAGGGGTGGTGCCCACCCCGTTACCTGCCCGGTGCCAGCCGAAGTTCATGGTTTTGGTGGGGGGGCGTGAGGAGACCCAGAGGGCAAAGAGGCTGATCATGATGCTGGCAAAGTCCGTCAGGAGGTGGGCTGCGTCCGTCAGGATGGCCAGGCTGTGTGCCAGGTACCCACCTGTGGAGAGGGGACATCAGGGACATCAGGGTGGCATCGGGGCAGAGGTGTGTGTCCCCCAAGCCGGGCATAGACCAGGTCACCCCGTTCCACAGTGGGGGCTCCACTGGGCACCTGGACCCACTGAAAAGCAGCGGGGACACCCCAGCCATTTGGAGTGTCCCCATGGGGACCATCCCCCCTGGACCCACCACTCACCCACGGCTTCCCCCACCATGAAGACGAGGCAGATGCTGGCTGCCAGGTAGAGCTTCCTGCGTGCCCGCTGCTGCTGGCCGGGGTGGCCGTCCCCCCCCCGCGTGTGGCAATGCCGGCTGCGCTGCACCCCCAGCTCCAGGGCGGGCGCCTCTTCCTGCACCGAGTTGTGCCCGTTCTTTTGCACAGCCCCCAGGTAGGACCTGCCGGGGAGAGGGGGCATAGAGGGGGGCCTGGGAGGATTTTGGGGAGTGGGTCAGACGCCGAACGCTCCCCCCCAGCCCCCATAGCCCTTTTTCCTTGGCCAGACACCTCCAAGGGACCCCAACTGGGAGGAAGAGGGGCCACCATGTCCCCAATTCCCCCCCCTTCCCCTGGGTACCCCCCTACCCGCCTGCACCCTCGCTCAGAAGGTGCCGTTTCTCCTCGCCGGGTGCCATTCTCCTCCGGTTGAGGGGGGATGAGGGGGGGGTTGGTGACCCCGGTGGGTGGCCGGTGCCGGTGACCCCGGTGCGTGGCCGGTGCCGGTGGCGGCCGGTGGCCTTCAGCTCGTGTGAAGCTCTGGGGACTCGTGTGCAAAGCCCAGCCGGGGGGGGGACGGGGGATGAGGGGGGGGCCAAGCCGGCTGCAAAGCACCCACGGCCGCCTTGTCCCGCTCACCCAGCACCCAAGGGGGCTGCTGATGGGGTGGGAGGGTGTCTCTGGCACCCACCGTGGGCACCCTCATGAACCGCCCACCGAGACATGGATGCAGCCCCCCCCGAGGTGGGGGGAGGACAGAGCAGCACCCTGTGCCCCCCAAAAAGCACCCAGTGACCTCCATCCCACCCTGGGGATGACCCCCTTCCACCCTTCCCCCCCCCCTCCCTGCAGTTTAGATCAGCCATGATGCTTTTAGAGCAGCCATGTGATGGATAAGCCTGGGGCCAGACCTCCCCCACCCCGGGCAGTGACTCCTGCCCACCCCCCCGGGGAGGGGGGGGGAGAGAAGTGTTAATTGCCCTAATTGCAATCACAGCACTGCAGGCGCTGCCTCAGTTTCCCCTCGGCCAAGCACCGAGCCGGGCTTATGTTTTTGCAGGAGAAAAAACGTTCAGGGTATATTTTTGCAGCCCCACGAGCTCAGCTGGCAGCAACCCGGCAGCTCGATGCCAATTCTGTCCCTATTTTAGGGACTGGCACAGCCCGGAGCATCCCCTCCCTTGGCCACTGCATCCACTGGCCCCGGGCAACCACTGGCCCCAGGGCATCCCATTGCCAGGAGGTAAATCCTTCTGGGTGCTGACCTGTGACATCCCGGGGCGGGTGGCCAGGAATGGGGTGCCAGGGCTGCCAGAGCTGTTAATGAGGCCAAAAATTAAGTGTTGGGCCAGGAGGCATCTCTCTGCCATGCCGGCCACCGAGCCAGGACGCTGGTGGTGGCACCAGCCCGGCAAACCCAACCACATCCCCAGTGCCCATCTGGCCCTGGGGCATCCCATTGCCAGGAGGTAAATCCTGCTGGGTGCTGACCTGTGACATCCCAGGGCAGGTGGCCAGGAGGGGGGTGCCAGCGCTGCCGGAGCTGCTAATGAGGTCAAAAATTAACTGTTGGGCCAGGAGGCATCTCTCTGCCATGCCGGCCACCGAGCCAGGACGCTGGTGGTGGCACCAGCCCGGCAAACCCAACCACATCCCCAGTGCCCATCATGGGGCTGGGCAAGCCAAAAACCATCATCAAGGATTAAAAAAAACACCAAACCACTCAAAACACCAGTTTTCTTTACAAAATACACAAAATTCGAATCAGTGACAACGATATACAAAAGAAGGAAGATACAAAACGTGCGGAATTGTCCTGTTTGCACCCGTATAGAAAAGTGTCCTGTGCTGGATGGAGCAGGCTCTGGCTCCCGAGGCCACCGGCCCCCCCGGGGGCTTGTGGCCCCCCCTCCTCTTGCCCTGTCCCGAGTCCCGTCGCCGGACATCCTGCGCCCGCGGCGTTTCTCCTGCGCCGGCAACGTCGCTGCGGCTACTGGGGAGCTGCCAGGGGGAGAGGATGGAGGGGTTGAGGGGGGTGTCCAAGCCCCCAAAGCTCCCCCCCCATGGGTGGTTGAGAGTCCTAGGGAGGTGGGATTGGCCCCTCTTACCCATCACTGCCCTCTCGGGCGCCACGTCCTCCTCTCCCTCTTCTTCCTCCCCATCAAAGTACTCCTCATCTTCCTCAGCTGCGAACAGGCAACCAAACGTCAGCGTGGGGCCACCAGGAAAGGTGGTGGGGGCCACCAGGTGGGGGGGAGTTGGTAAAGGGGCAGCAGGTTCCTCATCTTCCTCAGCTGCAAAACAGGCAACCAAACGTCACCGTGGGGCCACCAGGAAAGGTGGTGGGGGCCACCAGGTGGGGGGGAGTTGGTAAAGGGGCAGCAGGGGGTCAGGGGCTGAAGTACCAGAGTCGAAGTCCAAGGCACGGATGGCATCGGTGAGGTGGTCCAGGCTGACTGAGAAGGCGTCCATGTTCTCGTAGCCATGCTCAATCTTCTCCAGCCTGCCACCCTTGGAGGCCTCCACGATCCTGGGTAGAGAGAGCACAGCCATGTCCCCTCCTGTCCCCTTGTTGGGCTGGGGGACCCTGGGGTGCCTGGGCTGGGGGGGTTTGGGCATCCCCACGCTCACCACCTGGGCACCCCATGGCCATCTGCAGGGCAGGGGCTGGGGATGACTGAATTTTCTGCAATTTTGGGGCACTTACGTTTTAATGAGCTGCTTGGCGTTCTGCGGGGAGGAAGAGGAGAAGTGAGTGAAGCCACACGGCAGCCACCAGGACATCCCCGAGCTGGTGGGACCCCATGTGGGCACCCAGCAGGGAAGGAAGGGAGGTCTGAGGGTCTCACCATGAGGAAGGCAGCCCCTCCAGTCTCCTCCATGGCTTGGATGGCTGTCTCCACCAGCCGACTTGACTTCTCCAGCTGCTCCTTGTACCGGCGGATGAGGCCCTGGACGAAGCCCGTCTTGTCCCCCTGCTCGTTGGTGATGCGCTGCAGCAGCTCCGACTTCTTCTCCTCCAGCACCGCTGCCAGGGCATCAAAGCGGGCACACAGCTCCCTCTTGGCCGCCTCACTGTTCTCCTGCGGGGACAAGGGACAAGCGATGCCACTCCTGTGTCCCCCCAACACCAGCAACATCCCTCCTGGCCATCCCAAATGCCCCCCCTGGGCTGAGGTTTCACCCCCTGGGCTGAGGTTTCACCCCCTGGGTTTTCATGGGCTCCTTTTTCCCCCCCTTTTCCTCACCTCGGTGCTCCGGCACGAGTCCTCCAGCTGGGAGATGATGGTCTGGATCCGGTCGTTCCCCGCCACCAGCATGGAGATGCAGTTGTTCAGCTCGGTCTGGGATGGAAAGAAACAGCTTGAACCCCAGCGGGGACGGGGTTGGGGACATGTCCCATCCCAACACAGGGACAGACTGGGCATTGCCCAGCCCCAGCTCCGCTCCCCCCCATGTCCCCCCAGAGTGACAGGCACTCTAAATATAGCCTGTCTCCTGGGTGAAGTCACCCGGGGGGTTATTAATACCCCATGAGCAGGTCCTTGTGCTATTTGTGGCCATCCCAGCTCAGCACATCGCCCCGAGACCGGCTGTGTCCCCCGTGTCACCCCCCCCTCCAATTCCTTCTGGCACCTTCTGGCCCTGGAAGACGGTTTGCAGGGGGGCGACCTCGCAGTCCTTGTGGGCACCAAAGACCTTGCACATGGAGCAGGTGGGGACCTCGCAGGTGACACAGTAGATGTTGATCCTCTCATCCTCGTGCTCCTTGCACATGGGGTGCTCCCCCTTCTTCAGTGGCCTGCTGGAGAGGGTGGCACGGCCGCGGTGACGTCCCCGTCAGGGTGACAAACCCCCTCGGGGTGACACCCCCACCACAGTGACATCCCTGTCGCGATGATGTCCCCGTTGCAGCATCATGACATCCCCACTGATGCTGCACAGCCACCCCAAAATCAGGTCCCAGGGAAAGAAGCCACATCCTGGAATAACCCCACACTCGCTCCTTCAGGAGCCATGAACCTCTGGGTCTCCGTAAGATCCAAGCCCAGTAAGCACCAGTTTAAACCAGTTTGGCACTGGGCATGGCAGGTGGGTGGGTGGCCCCGGGGCCGCACTCCAAGGGACACTGCACAAGCACCTAATTTTAGCCTTGGGCTGCCAGGATTTATTGTTGTCACCCAACGCGTGACCAGGGTGGGGGCACCCAGAAACCCCTCGAGGGGCTGCCCATGAATCATCCCCTCTGCAGCAAGGGGGGGAGGGACATGGGGACAAGCCAAACCACTGAGGCAATGACAGGGTTGGCCCCCCCCAAAATCCCCCCCCGGGCAACCGCAGACACCTGCCACGTGCCATCGTCCCCGTCCCCATGGCTCTCAAACAATATTTACAGCGCTTCGGGGAATTTGGCTGGGGCCACAGCTCTGCCTCGAGAACCTGTGACCCCTCCATGTCCCCCCCCTTCAGCTGAACACTTTTACCCAGCAGTGTCCCCATTCCCCCCCCCAAAAAACTGTCCCCCTGCCCCTTATCAGCCAGCGGTGCCGCTGTCACAGGCAGAGCTTGGATTTGTCACCCACACCTCTTTATCTCCCACCGGACACTTCAGCTGCAGAGCACGGGGTGGGTAGGACCTGCCCCACTGCCACCACCCCCCTGGGGACCTGTTGTCCCCCTGAGCCACCCAAACTGCTCTGGATGGGGGGGGAGGATTTGGGTTGGGGGAGGAAATTTTGGGTTCGGGGAGGAAGTTTTGGGGTCAGGGAGGAAGTTTTGGGCCAGGGAGGAAGATTTGGGTCAGGGGGGGAAGATTTGGGTCAGGGGAGGAAGATTTGGGTCGGGGGGGAAGATTTGGGTCAGGGACACTTAAGCCAGCAGAAAAGCCTCCCAATTTCTTGCCCAGCTGCAACCTCCTGAGGTCTCAGCGATGGTGCTGGGGCTCAAGAAGTGGGCATCCCTATGTCCCCACTGGGGCATGGCACATGCAGTCGGCCACCCGTGCCCACCTGGAGCACTCCTGCTTGTAGATGTCGATGATGTTCTCCACCAGCAGGTTCCTCTGGAGCCCATAGACACCGTGACGGTCCAGCAGCACCTCATGGCGACACGACGGGCACCGGAACCGACCCCCCGAAATCACACTGCCCCGGCTCTGCCAGTACGGGTTGGCGGCCTGGGAGGGGGGGAGATGCACATCAAGGGTGAGGTGGGTGGTCCATGAATATTCCCCCAGCACCACGACCATCCCAGTGACCTCCAGCCCGGGCAGGGGAGGGGAATGGACACGGGGACCCCTCCCTCTCACCTGGAAGACGTCGTTGGCACACTTGCGGCAGAGGTTGTGTTGGCAGGGCAGGATCACCACGGGCTTGCTGAACATCTCCAGGCAGATGGGACAGATGAGCTGCTTCTCCAGGCTCTCCATGGGGTTGCCATCCTGCAGGATACCGGCTTGGAAATCCATCGGAACGACTCCTCTCACCCTCTCTCAACTGCCGGCAGCACCCCTCGCCCCCGCTATTTATAAGTCGCTCCCCTGGTCACGAGGAGCCAAATCTCGAGCGGGGTCGGATGTCTGGGTGTCCTGTCACACGGGACTGAGCCATCGGGATGCCACCGCCAACGGTAAACAAGCCGGGGACAGGCTGTCCGGGAGGCTCTGCCCGCCCGTGCCGCGGGTGCAGGCACGCCGAAAACGGAGCTGGGGGGTAAACAGGGCCAGATCTTCACCCCGGGGCCAAATGGCTGCACCCCCCCCCCACCCCAGGGGCAGATCCTGGGGCTGGACCCCACAACACACCATTGGGGTGGGGGCGTGGACGGGCTACAACCAGCCCCACAGTCATTTGGACAGTGTGATGGTGCCAGGAATGGGGCAGAACTGGGCCAGAGACAGCCAGGGGGGGGTTGGCTTATACAGAACATCTCTCTTTGCACCCCCAAAATGTGGCCACTGCTGGGGGGCAAACACACGCCTCACCAGTGGGTCCCCAGTTGGTGAACTGGGGAGACGCAGCCCCCAGGACCAGTACGTGCACCAGGGTCCCCCCCCTTTTCCCCTCCTCCAGGCAGGGGTTGGGGGGGCTCCTCTGTACCCCCAGCTGCAGGGGCAGCCACGGGGAGGGCAGGGATGGCTGCTCCCCATTCTGCTGTGCACGGCCATGACCCTGCCAGCCCCTCTGTTGGGTTGCAAAACCTGACCCAGAAACGGCTGGGCAAGAGGAAGGGTTGGAGG